GACAACCATGGGAGCCATCAAAGAGTCTTGAGCAGGTAGTGCCTGGCGAGAACTGTTCTTTAAAAAGGTCATTGTAAGCTGAGCACAGGGTTGCACTCCTGCAATCCCAGCAGCTCAGGAGGCTGAGGCAGGAGGATTGCAAATTCAAGGCCAGCCTTAGGCAGCCCTAAGCAACTTCGAGAGACCCTGTCTCAATAAATAAATAAATAAATAAATAAATAAATAAAATTAAATAAAATAAAAAGGGCTGGGGATGTGGCTCAGTGGCCTGGGTTCAATCCCTGGTACCAAAAAAAAAAAAAAAAAAAGAAAGGTCATTGTGGTCCTAAGGTCAGAGGGAAGCGTGAAGTCCGTTGTAGGAGTTCTGAGGATTTGACCAGATCTTCCTGCAAGGCAGGTCATAGTAAGTAGCCTTGGTCGAGTCTCTGGGTCTTCTTTGGGGACAGATCCCCCTGGTGCTGTGTAGAGGCTGGAGGGAGATGGGGTGGCTGGAGCCTGTGGACAGGCTGTGGGACTAGTCAGGACACAGGGAGGCTGAGTGTTTAAGAAGGCGAAATTGTTGGGACTTAGACACTCCGGGGAGAGAGGAAATCATGGTTAAGCCTATTGTCGAATTGCCCAGCAGGCCCAGGAGGGCCAGTCTCTGCCCTTTCAGCTGGGTGACACTGGACTAGTCTTTCCCTCCATGCCTTAGTCCCCCCAGCTGAGCAAGGTAGTCTCTCCTGCTCTGACTCAACAGGTCTGTGATGTGACTGATCAGGAGGACAGACACAGAGCCCACGGTGTGACTAGCCAGGGCCTACTCTAGGATCATCAAATCTGGCCAGGTCGGCTATGGCCTGGGGCCAGCGCTTGGCATGGCTACTATCGGAGAGGGCACATCTCTGACCTCTGAGTGCCCTCCCCTTCACAGCAGCTGGGCCCTGTCAGCTGCGTTGGCCTGGCCTGCCTGGCTATTCCAGGTCCTGACTCCAGCCAGGGCCTCTGCTCTCTGGAGAGGAGTGGCTCCAGTCTGGGGTCCCATTGGCTAAACCGTGCCTAGCTGCACACACCCCTGCTTCCCGGGCTGGCTGGCTGCCCACCTGAGAGGGAGGCCTGGCCTGCCCCATGTGGGCAGACTGCCTCAGAGCCCAAGGGAGGAGGTGGGGGTCTGAGAGACTGTGCCTGGGGCCGCCTGGGCTGCTCTGTCCCCACCTCCTTTGCTCCCACCCCATCTCTGCACCCCTCCTGTGAGAGGAGTCTCATGTCAGCAGCAATGAGGTCCTCAGTTTGCTTCAAGGTGGAGGGCTCAGCTCTGATTGGAGGAGCATAGTGTTTCTGTTTGAAGGGGTGCCGGTGCTCTGCAGCTTCCTGATTGGGAATCCCACTGAGTGTGCCAGGCCCCAGGCGGGCTTAGACCCTAGAATCCTGGAGCCAGTGCTATGTACCTTAGGGAGTGACAGTTCTCTTCTTTGCTGGGGAGGGCAGGCGTGACTCAGGAAGAAAGGGGCCTTGCTCATGATCTCATAGTGCCTGAGGGACAGGCTAGAGTTTGCACTTAAGTCTGTCTCTGGTTGTCCTTCTGAAAACCTCTAATGAGGTCCTACTGTGTGCTAGGCCCCTCTAGGCTCAAGTTGTCATTGTATTCGTGGTGCTTGGCCCAGGGTCCAGGACAGAGAAGGTGCTTGGTGAATGAATGAATGAGGCAAAGATCCTGTCTCCATGCAGCAGAGTCTAGTGGAAGGCAGGGTTCCTGTTTCACAGAACAGGAAGCAGGACAGTCAGGGATAGGGACCACTCCGCTGAGAAGTAGGGAGAAAACTGGAGTTCAGCAGTCTGACTCCTGGCCCAGGGCTTTGTCCAGCTTCAGTTTCCTCATCTGTAAGATGGGTTGACAGTCCTGGCTTTCTGCCTGCCTCGTGAGGGCCGGGCGAGGCGGTGGGTGGGATAGAGCAGGGCCCTGTGTGGGGCTTCCCTCTGTGCCTGTCCAGACTGCCTAGGAACCTCAGATGGTTGACTCCCTTTATTCTGCCCACCAGTCCTCTGCCTCTTGCCTCCCACATTTCCTCAGTTCTCTCCGGGCTTCTTTCTGGACTGTTCTTCCCAGAACACCTGGCAGTGAGAGGGGTTTGGAAAGAGTGTGGGTAAATGGACCCTGCCTGCCTCCTCCCTCTCTCCCTGCCCCTGCTCCCAGAAAGCCAGCTACTCGCATCCATGTAGGCTTCCAGTGCATGGCCAGACTGGAGATGCCTTGGCAATGGTTACCATGGCAACGGGTCCTGCTGCGTGGACCACAGTGCCTTCAAGCCAACTGTGAGGACTAGAAAGCTGGTCAGCCTGGCACTCCATGGGCCTCCGCCCAGGCTGAGAGGTCTCAGGGCTGTGGCTCTCTTTTTTCCCAGCCCTGTGCTTACTACCCAGTGGCTCTTGGGAATGAGCTGCATCTCTGGGAACCACAAGCAGTTCTGGGTCAGACAGGCCTGGTTCAAATCCTGGTTCTATCACTTGAGGGATCAAAGTCATGTTCAACGTGGCTTGAACAAGTCATGTTGGTAGGTTTTGAATTTATGGAATTAGCTTAGGGTTGCCTGTGGGGGGACTTATCCGGGACACACAGACCCCCAACACAGGAGCCAGCACTGCTCCCTCCTGCAGCTTAGGGGCCCTCCATCTGATCAGGACACTCTTTGCTGCTACATCTGAGGCCCAGGACCCTGACTCCTCATCTTGGCCTAGGAAACCTTGCAAGGGTCTTGGTGTGGTGGGAAGGAGCTCAGACTGCTCCAGATCTCAGGGATGGGAGCCAGGCTCTGCTATTTCCTTGACCCTCAGTTTCCTTATCTCTAAGATGAGGATAATAACGTACCTGTCCCACAGGTTTGTTGTACAAATGGAATTGAATTAATACATGTAAAATTGAATTAATACACGTAAAATAATCTGCTAAGGCAGACTGTGTGGACACTTAAATGCCATATAAATGTTAGCTGTGACTGTTGTCACTCCCCTAGAGTTGGCATTGGCTGTGACAATTGGCACCACGTGCCTGCCTCTCATTTTTCTCACACACAGGGTTGCCCAGATCCTGAGTTCACAGACTGACCAGGAGGGTATCCCAGAGAGAAGGGACAGCAGGTTGCCTCCCTAGCCCCCATCAGAGGGGCTGATGGGCATGGCCCCCTGTCCTGCCTGGAGAGTAAGACAGGATGGGCTTCAAGCTTGAGACTCCATCTCTCCTGAGTGCATTTGAAGACCCTCCCGCCTTATTCTCCAGTTGGCAGCTGCTGCGCTCCTGCCCTGGATCAGACAGCTGCTCAGTGACTGCCCAGAGCCCTCCCAGTCAGTAGATCCGAGTGCCGGAAGGCATTAGCACCCACTGGAGGCGCCTGATGCCAACTGAAGAGCCCAGGAGCTCAAGAAAGGGCCTGTGGGGACGAAATCAGAGCTGCTTCCTGAAGCACTTTTATGGGAACAATTTTCAGTTGGACTACTGCAGGTTCACTAGCTCCCTAGGCCTCCCTGCATAGAGCGGTCAGTCCCCTCCCTCCCTCTCTCCCTTTTCTTTTTCTTCATTATTGGTTCTTGCTTTATTGACCTCCTTTTAATTGGAGTGTTTGCATTATTTACATTTTTAAAATGTACCATTAAAAAAAAAAATATATATATATATATATATGATATATTTTTTAGTTGTAGATGGACATAATACCTTTATTTATTTATCTTTATGTGGTGTCAAGGACCGAACCCAGGGCCTCACACATGCCACAACCCCAGCCCCTAATTTTTTTTTGGTACCAGGGATTGAACTCAGGGGCACTCAATCACTGAACCACATCCCTAGCTCTATTTTGTATTTTATTTAGAGACAGGGTCTCACTGAGTTGTTTAGCATCTTGTTGTTGCTGAGGCTGGTTTTGAACTCACAGTCCTCCTGTCTCAGCCTCCTGAGCCACTGAGATTACAGGCATGTGCCACCGTACCCTGCCGTTTTAAATATTTTTAAGTGTACAGTTTAGAGGCATTAAGCACATTTTCAATCAGGCAACTATTCTTACTAACCGTCTCTAGATCTTTTTCAACTTCCCAAACTGAAACTCTATACTTAATAAACAGTAACTCCCTATTTCTTCCTCCCTAGCCCCTGGTAACCACTGTCCGGTTCATTCTTTTGTTCCTTCCTTCCCTCTTTCTTCTTTCTTTTTACAGTACTAGGGATGGAACTCGGGGTGCTCTACCACTGAGCTACATTCCCAGCCCTTTTTATTTTGAAACAGTCTCACTAAGTTGCCCAGGCTTGCCTTGAACTTGCAATCATCCTGCATCAGCGTCCCAAGTTGCTAGAACTATAGGTGTGTGACAACACGCCTGACTGCTGTCATTCTTTTGTCTCTCTGAATTTGACTACTCTACGGACCTCCTGTGAATGAAATCACAGTATTTGTCCCTTTGTGACTAGCGTGTCTTCCAGGTTCATCCATTGTGAAGCATGTATAAGAATTTTCTTTCTTAGGCTGGTGCCAAGGCCCATGCCTATAATCCCCGCAGCTCGGGAGGCTGAGACAGGAAGATCACAAGTTCAAAGCTAGCCTTAGCAATTTAGCAAGGTCCTAAGCAACTTAGGGAGGCCCTGTCTCAAAATATAAAATAAAAACAGCTGGGGATGTGGCTCAGTGGTTAAGTGCTCCTGGGTCAATTTCTCGCACCAAAAAAAGCAAAACTTTTCAAAAGTTATCCCACAGGCAGAAGTGAGGAAGTGAAGTATCTATATTCTTCTTCTCTCCCAGGTCCAAAGTTGTGTTAGCTCAGATTTGTTGGCCAAAAGGAAACAGCACAGGTGGCTTCCAAGGAGCCTTTGGGGTCTGAGACCATGGGCTGGAGGGTGCTCCCCTCTCTCCTGGTGGGGCTGGTGGGAGGTGGCCATGGGCTGCTTCTCCTCTCCCTGGGGCCATAAGGTCTCAGGGCTTGGCAGACCCAAGAACCCTGGGGAGAGCTGATCTCTCTGCCTCCGTGTTCTCCAGGGCCTCGCCTCTGTGTTCTCCAGCCGCACGTCCCGCAAGTCAGTCTCACGTGCTGGAGACGACAACGACATGGCAGAGGGTGAGGGATACCGGAACCCCACGGAGGTGCAGATGAGCCAGCTGGTGCTGCCCTGCCACACCAACCATCGTGGGGAACTGAGCGTCGGGCAGCTGCTCAAGTGGATCGACACCATGGCCTGTCTGTCCGGTGAGGCTGCGCTTGGCCTGGCCATCTCCAGCCACAGGCCCCACAGACCCAGAGCAGGGGCCTCTATTCAGAGATGGTTACTGTCCCCTGAGTGTCTCCTTTGCCCATGCTGGTCCATGTGCCTGAAGTGCTCTCCTAGTTTCCCAGTGCTCAGGGCAGCCCTCCCACTCCCCCAGGGCCCACAGCCCTGGGTACTGGTGTCGTGCCCTGAGGTCCCTGCTTCCACCCAGTGCAGCCATATACAGGGCTGCTTCACCACGGGTTTGAAAATGCCCTGAGCACCGATGGCGACAGGCTGCTGATGGTGGTCCCTATGTTGAGTGGAACTGCAGAGCTTGCTTCATTCTTTTTGCTGTGATGGTGTCTCCAGCCCACTGGGAGCTCCCAGCCTGGTGGAGCAGTTGGGGGGGGGCATGCAGGAGGACCCCACTGCCTGTTTGAGAGACCCTGACCCAGCTCTGGGGACAGGGAGGGGTTTCTGAGGGGTTAGGGCACCTGAACAGGTCTTTGTTTAATTTATTTTGATGTGGTTCCAAGGATTGAACCCAGTGCCTTACACATGCCAGGCAGGTGAGCAAGTCTTGAGGGTGAGAAGGCTCAGGGAAGGGAACAGGTGGGTGAGGTGTGGGTGCTCAGGAAGTCAGGCTAGACAGTGTGGCATGATCACCCATTCATCCAGCAGCTGCTGGCCTGAGAGTCTATGCTGGGTTCTGCTCCAGGAGCCTCGTGCAGCGATCAGCAGGACAGGTAGAAATCCTTGCCCTCAGGTACTTCCCAGTCTAGCAGGTCACTAGACACAGGGAACCAGATTTATAAAATAGGGTTAAAATGTGGTAATGGTGGGAAGGGACTGGGAGAAGGCTGGGGTGGCCTCGGCTTGGGCAGATGGAGAAGCCTCTTGGGGAGAGGTGACATTTGATCAGAGGCCAGTGACGTGGGAAGCCTGTTAACATCTGGCTTTCTTCTTCTGACGCCAGCGGAGAGGCACGCTGGCTGCCCCTGTGTCACAGCCTCCATGGACGATATCTATTTTGAGCACACCATCAGGTAAGCAGCTCCTGCTTCAAGGTCCTTCCAGTCTCCCTGCCACAAACCCATGGCCACTCCCCCATGACCCTGCCTGGAGTCTATCAGGCTTTTGAATATGGAAGAAAGGCAGCTTCTGGGGGCAAGGACCTGTCTGCTGGGTCTCTGGGCAGCAGTGGGCTGGGTCCCTCTGCCAGGGTGGGGCTCAGGAAGTGGTTTGGAGTTGGGCGTTGCTGAGATGTCATTGTGGTCCTTCAAGGACTATGTCATTCTGGGGAGGTCAGTCTTTCCCTCTGGGCCTTGGTTTTCTTATCAGAACATCGAAGGCATTAGGCTTGACCAGTGAATGCCTTTCTGAGCTTGGAAATTGTCTGTGGCCACTGGTTACTGCACTGTAGGGAGGCCCCTAGGCAAAGTTCCTTGGCAAAGCCTGAGCTTGAAACTTCGCCCATCTCCCTGTGTTCACACACGCCCAGGTTGATAAGGTGCTCATTACCCCAGGGAGACTTTTTTCTCTTTCTAATGACTGTCCTGGTTACATCGTGCTGAGCTTGACATTGCCTGTTGGTCCCTGCCTGCTTCTGGGACTCCAGAAGCATGCTGAGTCCTCCACTGGGACAGGCTGCAGGGGCTGCCCGCACAGCTCTGTCTCCAGCCCGTTCCTAGCTTGCCATCAGTACCTAGGGAGTCAAGTGCCAAGTGCCAAGGGCTTATTTGGGACTGCCTGGTGCCCTGTGTGTCCCAGTTAAGGAGAAGTTTGGCCATCCCAGTGCTCATTAGTCATTCACTACATACTTAATATTAGTTGGACTGGGGCCATGCTGGGTTTGGGGACACAGAGTCCATTAGAGCATGATCTCTGTTCCCAGGAGCTCCCAGACTGCAGGGGAGGCAGATGCAGGAACAATTTCCATTCCAAGTGGGTGTGGAGCTCAGTGGCAGGCCATGTGCCTATTGTGCACAGGGCCCTGGGTTTGAGCCCCAGCTTCACAAAGACATTGTGAAAAATAGAAAGTTCCACACTAATAATGTGAATTGTGATATTTAGATGCTTGTCATACATTTCAAAATACTTTAAATTTCAGAATAGTTTTACATTTACCATAAGGTTATATCTCTGACTATAGTACAGAGCTCCTATATATCCCACACCCAGTTGCCTGATTATTAACATATGTGTAGGGCACCTTTGTCATAGTTAATGAACCCATATCATCAATACCTTATTTGGAATATGCCTTTTTTTTTGTACCAGGAATTGAACCCGGGGCACTTAACTACAGAGCCACATCCCCAGCCCTTTTTATTTTTTACTTTGAGGAAGGGTCTCAATAAGTTGCTTAGGGCCTCCTTAAGTTGTTGAGTCTGGCCTTGAATTGTGATTCTCCTGCCTTAGCCTCCTGAGTTAGTGGGATTATAGGCACTGTGTCCAGCTTGGCATGCCTTTTTAATATGTTAATTTATTTAATCCTCAGAACAACACTATGAGGTCATGGCTATTAGTACCCTCGTTTTTTCAAAGGAGGAAACTAAGGCACAGGGAAGTAAGGTAACTTGTTTAAGGTTATACAGCTGGTGGAAGACCCAGGAAATACTACCAGGCTGCTGGTCTGACCCAAGTCCCTGTTCCAACCAATGGGCTACATTTCCCATGTCTGTGAGCGAGGGTGGTGCCATGGAGGGTAGTCAAGGGGTCTTCCTGGAGGAGGTCTGAGCTGGCTGCAGTACTGTCAGCTCTGTATAGAGCAATGCTTTGGAGGCCTGTGACCATGTCTGGCCTACTCTGGGTCCCTGCTGCTGATATAGGTTGTCTTCTCTGGAGGGGCTGGGGGTAGAGAGCACAAAAGATGGATTTGCTATGGGCCCAACCAGTGAAGGTGAGTCTGGTGGAGGGGGTTGTGGGTGGCAGGGAAAGTGGGGAAGGATTAGGGGAGGGGTCTGGAGCATTGCTGGTGGCCTGGAAAGGCGTGGATACACCTGAGGAAAGCTGGAGAAGGTTTTGGTTTGTTTCTGCTTTTGCCATTTAAAAATATTTCCAAATGTAGCTCTAAGGACTAAGTATTCTTTTAAAACATAACTTCAACACCTAAAAAAATTAACAGTAATATCCCACTAAAATCAATGTATTCAGATGCCCGCACTGTCTCAGGAGTTTGTTTATTTATTTATTTATTTGGTGGTGCTGGGGATTGAACCTAGGGCCTTGTTTGTGCATGCGAGGCAAGCACTCTAGCAACTGAGCTGTATCCCCAGCCCCACCTTGTTTTAATTTTTTTTTGCTTTATCTTTATTTTTGTCATTCAAGTCAGAATGCAAATAAGTTTGCAAGTCAACCAGTTGCTATGTATAAGTTTTTAAAAATACTTTAATTAATTTATTTTTATGTGGTGCTGAGAATCGAACACAGTGCCTCACACATGCTAGGCAAGTGCTCTACTGCTAAGCTAAGCCCCAGTCCAAGTTATTTCACGCCCCCCCCCCCCCCCCCCCCCCCCCGTTTCTTTTCTTTTTCAGTATTAAGGATTGAACCTAGGGCCTTGAATGTTCTGCCGCTGAGCTACATCTCCATCTTTTTTTCAAATTTTATTTTGAAACAGTCTTAATAAGTTGCTGAGGTTGGCTTTGAACCTGCAATCTTCCTGCCTCCTGAGTAGCACACCTGATCACTTTTTAAAAACATCTTTAGATAATACTTGCTCATCCCTAACACCGGGCCTCCTTAAGTTGTTGAGTGAATTGTGATTCTCCTCTCTCCATCCCTCTCTCTCTCTCTGTTTTTTTCCCTTGACATTTGTTTGTTGAGGAACCTGGTATTTTCCCCCTAGAGTTCTCCGTTTTCTGGGTTTTGCTGTTAGCATCACCATGGAATATATACTTTAACATTTTCCTATGTCTGCTGAGAGTAATTGGTCTTGCAGAAGGGCTTACAGGGTTCAGGTTAGTTTATGGGGAGCCACCCTTCAGCATTGTGAAGACTACCTGGAGGGTGTCAGGGAGCTGGAGGCTTGTGGGGGCCCCTGAAGGAGCCAGCGTGGTCTGAGTGCTGGGATACAGGACAGTTGGGAGGAAAACAAGCTCCAAAGTCTAAGTGGCATCTGCTTGGCTTTGGGTGAGCTGGGGAGGAGGACAGGGCGGAGTGGAGAGAATCACAAATCTCTTTCTTTGAGTACAATTATCCTGGTGCCTGTGAGATTCATGAGATTCATCTCATGAATGTTAGGCAAGTCCTCTACACTGAGCTACATCCCCAGTCCTCTTACACAGAAAACAGACTTTTTAAAAAAAAATTTTTTTTTTAGTTGTAGTTGGACACAATACCTTTATTTTATTTACTTCTTCTTATGTGCTGCTGAGGATCGAACCAAGGGCCTCGCACCTGCTAGGTGAGCGCTCTACTGCTGAGCCCCAGCCCCAGCCCCAGCCCCAGACTTTTTTTTCTTACAGCAGCCCTGCCTTATCTGTGGGAATATGTTCCAAGAGCCCCTGTGGATGCCTGGAACAGTGGCCAGTACCAAACCCTTTGTAAACTGTGTTTTTTTCTATACACACATATGATAAAGTTTAGTTCATAAGTTAGCCACAGTAAGATATTAACCACAATAGCTAATAATAAAATAGAACTATTATAAAAATATACTTTAATAAAAGTTATTAATAATAATAACATCTGGAATTTTCCATTTACCATTTTCAGAGTGCAGTTGACTGTAGATATCAAGCTGTGGACATGAGGGGAACTGCTGTACTTTGGGGACCAGAGGAAATTGAATTTTTTTCTTTTTCTTTATTTTTTTTGGGGGGTGAGGGCGTGTGGGATTGAACCCAGGGCCTTGTACATGCTAGGCAAGCACTCTACCAACTGAGCTGTATCCCCACCTCTTTTCTAATTTTTGATCATGAAAACTTCCAAACATGTAGAAATCTGAGTAGTGAAATGGTCACCATTACGAGATCCATTACTTAACATTTGCTACATTTGCTTTAACTAGACATGGATAAATAAAACATAAAACATTTTCTCTCTTTCTCTCTCTCTCTCTTAATTTTTTTTTTTTTTTGGTTCTGAGCCATTTGAAGTGAGTTGCAGACATCATGCCACTTTATTCACTTTATTTCCCACCTTGTTAGCATGTGTCACTTAACATGGCCCTCCCCCACGTCACAACATGAACAGAAGTCAAACATGCAGCACCTGAGCACATGCAGTGCTCAGTGGCCGGTCAGGCCCACTCTTCATCTCTCCTGACCCTTAGAAGCACAGGCAGTAGGCACACACTCCCATACTTCAAACACGAGGAAGTGGAATCAGAGAGGTGAAGTGATTTTCCCAAGGTCACATAGCTTGGCAGTGTGACAGTCAGCCTCTCATTGTGCTCACTGTGGGCCCTTGGCCAGCAGGTGTCTTGGAGTGAGCTCGTCCCAGGCTTGGGCAGGAGGCAGTGTAATCTGAAGTTAGCACTGTGTTTCCATGTTCATGAGCCGAGGTGCAGAAAGATAAAAAGAACTTCTCAAAGTCACACTGTGATTGAATAGGGCCAGCTCTCCAGCCTCCTGTCCTCTCACCCCCATAGCCCACCAGCTGGTCTCTCACTGCTGTCTCCAGTTAGGCAGAGGGCAGGCTGGGTGGCTCCCCATTCCAGAAGGATAGGCTCCATTTGGAAAAAGTGGGGTTGGGCAGCCAACACAATCACCTAGAATACTGGCCCTGTCACTTTTTAGCTGCGTGATCTTGAACAAATGGCTTAACCTCTCTGATGCTCAGTTGCTCCCAAACCTACCTGCAAGGCTTATTTTTGAGGTTCAAACCAGGTAATGCACAGTGCCTGGCACATGGCACTCATTCTTTAAATGTTTCCATTTCCCTATCCACCCTCTCTGGATATCCCCTTGCACTTAGTAGGCAGTCAATAAATGTGGAATTCATCAATTCAGGTGGCCACTATTTACTGAGGACCCACCCTATGCATTGTGCCGGGCCTTGGAGAGCCAATGGCGAGCAAAACACAGGCCCCTGGGGCTGGGGGTGTGGCTTGGTGGTAGAGGGCTTGCTCCTTACAACCAAGCCCAAACGAAACAGAAGTACTGGTTCTTTCTGCAGTGGAGCTTCAGGGCTGTGGGAGGCTAGTCAGTCCACTGGGAGGGGTTGGAGGATGACCCTCATGGGGACTGGAAGACAGGGAGGGCTGCCCCATAGAGCAAACCGTGGAGCTAAGAGTAGAAAGAAGCTCAGCTCTAACTGAACAAGGGATTGGGGGAAGGAGGGAGACAGTGACCCCAGGCCACTTCTCCTGGCCTCAGCTTGCCTACCTGCAAAGTGGGTGCCCACACTGCCTCCCTGGCCTGCTTTGAGGACTCTGTGATGTCACAGGTGGGAATACCTCCTGCGATCCCTGAAGTCCCTTTTGCCAGTTCCCCCAGCAGAGCTACTGTGGTTCCCTCCCCTGTCCCCTCTGGAAGGCTCACCTCCTGCTTTCCTCTCCCCAGTGTTGGACAAGTGGTGAATATCAAGGCCAAGGTGAACCGGGCCTTCAACTCCAGCATGGAGGTGTGTGGGTGGGCACTGCCTGGGGTTAGGGTGGGCCTTCCTCCTTCCCGTTCTTCTTAGCTCCAGCCCAGGCACACTTAGCTGCAGAGACCTGGTTGGGGCAGCAGAGTTCTGAACTGTTTGGCAGGGATAGGAGGGTCCTAAGAGCTTCCTGTCCAACATCCCATAGCACAGACAGTAAAACTGAGGCCCCGCAGAGGGAAGGACCTTGCCTTAGATCACTGAGCCACATGGTTTACAGTGTGGCCCAGGCCCTCTTTGGCAGCTGGGTGGTTGTGGGGATCAAGGGAAGACAGCTGTTGTGTCTGATCCCAGAGGCACAGGGGCCACAGTGGAAGAGTGCTGGGCTTCCACCCATTAGCTTACCTCCCCTAGCCTCTGTCTCCTCATCTGTAAAATGGGAACATGGTTCCTGTGTTGCAGGGGTGGTGGTCAGGGGTGTTGTGTGGTGATGCACAGGGCCCTGTGCTCTGTGGGGGACTCTGCTTCCTCCCTGTGGACTGCAGGCCCAGGCAACCTCGTCCAGCTGAGCCACCAAAGCTAGGACAACAGATCCCTGACTATGCCCCTGGGCACTTCAAAGGCCCAGGTCCTGCCCACGAACCCCCAGGTGTCCATCCTTTGAATTTGGCCAACATTTTATCTCTTAAAGCCCTTTTGTGGACACAGTCTCATTTTAGTCTTCTCAGTAGTCCTGAGAGCGTAGCTCTGATCACTCACATTCTACAGATGAGGAAACTGAGACTCAGAGAAGAGCAGTGACTTGCCCAAGGTTCTCCAGGGAGCCAGGAGCAGAGTCAGAACCAGCCACAGGCCTCTGGCTTAGGCCTGGTGGGGGCTATGGGAATCCCAGAAGCCCAGCTTGGAGTGGCTCTTCCTGTCTTGTCCAGATGAGGGCCTCGAGTTGATGGGCTATTTCTTCCCTCCTACTCTTCCTCTCCAGGTGGGCATCCAGGTGGCCTCTGAGGATCTGTGCTCTGAGAAGCAGTGGAATGTGTGCAAGGCCTTGGCCACCTTTGTGGCCCATAGGGAACTTACCAAGGTAGGTGCCTGCTGCCTGCCTTCGTGCTGCCTGTCATGGCGGGTCCGGGCCACAGCCCCAGGAGGAAGGCTCATTGCCATCCAACCCTTACCTCCTCCTCCTCCCCTCACCCCTCTCTGCACGTCTCATGCAAAGAAGTTTCATCAGCGTTCCTCATGTTCACAATGACCCCTCTATAACCTGGGACTTTGCCCAAGAGGGGAGCTGGGGGGACATCAAGGTGGAGGCACGAAGGTGAGCCCCAGGAGAGGAGACTGGCTCGGGACCCACCAGCATCCCAGCCTAGTCGGTGCCAGCCTCAGGCATGCCGTGGTCTGGGAGACAGACCTTGTCCTGAGCACCTGCCCGCTGTGCCCTGGCCAACAGGTGAAGCTGAAGCAGATCACGCCACGGACGGAGGAGGAGAAAACCGAGCACAGTGTGGCAGCTGAGCGCCGGCGCATGCGCCTGGTCTATGCGGACACCATCAAGGGCCTCCTGGCCAACTATGCCATCCAGGAAGGTGAGCAGCCCACGTAGAGGGATGGCGGCCCATGTCCTGCATATCAATAAATGTGGGCCCTGTGCTGGGCGGCCCCACTGGGCAGAGAGGAAGGGATCCTCCTAGGGACTTCTGCCCCTGTGGCCTCAGGCCTGTCTAGCCTTCTTGGCCTCCTGGGCTCCCCCAGAGAAAGGAAATTCTTGAGCCTCTTACCCAGTGCCCAGGACCCCAGTACACAGAAGCCCAGAGCCTGGGAGCCCAGTCCCCAAGAGCCATGGAGACGGCGATAGGATACATAGAGATCCCTTTGTTGGCCACAAAATGCATTTTGAATCTCTAGGAACCAAGGTGTTTAGGAAGGTAGTGTTGAGCTAGGACTCAAAGACTGTAGGATTTTAAAGAAGCACCTGTGTGTGTGTGTATTTTTTTTAATCTCCCAAAGGATATAGATAAAAAACCAAGACTCCCTCCTAACCCAAAACCTAGGCTACTTTCCCAGAGGCATTTTTTTTCTTGAGGCACTGGAAATTGAACCCAGGGGTGCTCTACCATTTAGCTATATTCCCCAGCCCTTTTATTTTGAAATAGGCTCTCACTAAGTTGCTGAGGCTGGCCTTGAACTTGTGGTCCTCCTGCCTCAGTCTCCCCAAGTTGCTGGGATAACAGGTGTGCACCACTCTGCCTAGATGTTATCTTTTTTTTTTTTTTTTTTGGTACTAGGGATTGAACTCAGGGTCACTCAACCACTGAGCTACATCCCCAGCCTTATTTTGTATTTTATTTAGAGACAGGGTCTCACTGAGTTGCTGAGCGCCTTGCTGTTGCTGAGGCTGGCTTTGAACTCTCGATCCTCCTGTCTCAGCCTCCTGAGCCCAGCCTGTTACCTGGTTTTCAATCCCTTTCCAGAAGTATTCCCTGCATATTTAAGCATAGTGTGCATTATTTGGCACCATGCTTTCACCAAAAAGGGAACATGTAGGACACATTGTGCTGTGTGTTGATTCCCCCCACTCCATGTCTCTAAAATCCCTGGAGGTCAGTCTACATCGGCACAAGAAGACCTTCTTTGGAGAGATGAAGGAAGGTGTTCCTGACAGAGCATATAGTCTGGCAAAGGCCTGGAGGCAACATTGAATTTCTTACCCAATCTCTAGAATGTTCAAGTGCAAGGTCTTTAAGGGATTTGAGGACAAATAAAAGGTGATTCAGCTGCCCATGTAGAGGGAAAGCAGGTAGAAGTCGCTAACCCCAGCGAAAGCAGGACACTGAGCTTGGGATTCCCAGCTCTTCCCATTGGCCTCCTTACATCCATCCATCCCACTTCAGCCTCCTGGACCCCTCCTGTCCTGACAGCCTTCTCCCCACGGGCCAGTCCAGGTGCCTTTGCCTGACATCCGGGCCTTTGGGCTGATTGCAGCCCCATCTGGTGCAGTCGCTTTACTCGCTCCAGCTCCAGCTAAGCAAGTCCTCTTTGCATCCTGCCAGTGCCTTGCCTATCCCACCTCCAGATCTGGGCCAGGGTCATCCTCAGCTCCTGCTCCCCCTGCCCCCCAGCCCGCCGGTGGCATTTTGGAGAACCTGTCAGCACAGTGAAATGCCACTCCTCTTATGGGCCCTCCCTGCAGAGGGCTGTCTCCATAGGACACAGGAGACAAATGGCACCACCTTGGGCTGGGAGGGGAGTGTCAAGCTCAGAAGCCCAAGGCCCCCCCCCCCTCACACTCTGGCCCCTGCTACTCAGGGCATCCTAAGGCTGTGGCTGCAAGGGACAGGGAATGATCAGGACAGAGGTGGGAAGAGCTTCTCTTTCTCAGGTATATCCACTGAGTCTGGAGCCGAGCCCTTTATAACCACCATCACAGTTCACCTTCAGATGGTGGGGTGGGTTGACACCTGCCCTTCACAGATGGAGCAGCTGAGGTCCATGCGGGTCCTTGATTTGCCCAAGGTCATACAGCCTGTGTGAGGTGTGGGGTTCAGACCAGGTGTTCCGGTCTCTTCCCTGAGACAGGCTCATATCAGTGACCTCAGTGACCTTACACCTCTCACCCAGGAACGCCTGCACCCATTTCCCTGTTGCTTAACAGATTAAAGATCCTGGGTGGCTGCAGCAGGGTAGGGTGGGATCCCGGGGCTGCAGGGGTGCGTCTTCCCTGGTGGCCTCCTCACCTCCCTGCCTCTTTCCCCCTGTCCCCTCCCTGGCCAGATCTGGACAGCAGGGACTGCAGCTGCATGGTGCCGGCTGAGAAGACCCGCGTGGAGAGCGTGGAGCTGGTTCTGCCCCCCCATGCCAACCACCAGGGCAACACCTTTGGGGGTCAGATCATGGCCTGGATGGAGAACGTGGCTACCATTGCAGCCAGGTGGGGGCCTGGGCTCTGCTTGCCTCCCTGCTCCTCCCCCCCTTGGTGCTCCCTTGGCTGGGGACACTTGCTGGCCCTGCCAAGCAAGGCCTCAGAAGCTTGGCTCTTCATTAGGGTAACCCAGGGTTTTTGGAGAACCAGAGAAAAAGGGTTTCCTGTGAGCTGACCATTCTTTCCTCCACTCATAGAGTCCACCTCGTTCCCCCTGAACTCCTGGGAAACACCAAGCCCTGGCCAGGCCCTGCAGCCTCCCCTTGGTCTGGCCCTGCCCGCTTTCCCCAACAATTTCCACTCTCTTTAAATCAAGCCATCGCTGTCACTGTTCCCATGCTCTGTGTTCCTGGCCCCTGGCTCCAATCCTGGTGTGGCCTCCTGCCACACAGCCCCCATGGTGCTTTGTTAACCTGCCACCTCCCCCTCAAAGCCACCCCTGCCCGTTTCCTTCTTCCTGGTGGTGATAACAATTGCTGTTCTCCTGTAACCCCTGTACCTTCCAGGACTTGTTCTACTCTAAATATCAGGGGTTTTTTTTCTAATAGTTTTGGTAACTGACATTCACTAGTGGACACTCTCATAGCTCCCTGAACATACTTGCTGTCTCTTCTTCCAGGAGTGTCCTCCCAGCCCATGCCCTCCCCCAGGCCGATTCTTCCTCATCCTTAGAACCTGGCTCAGGCGGCCCTTCTCCGTGTTAACCTGGGGGAGAGGTATTTAAACGGTGCTATTTGGGACAGTCCTTGACTATGAGTGCAATGAGGTCTCAGACGAGAGGGAGAGTCTGGATGGTCAGGGAGGGCTTCTTGGAGGAGGAGTGCCTCAGTAGCCCTTGAATGACAACTCTGGGAGAGAGGGGCTTAGCAGGTACTAAGGTATTTACTAAGGTATTGGGAGGAAGATGGGGAAAGAGGCTTTCTTCTGTCTCCTAAACTCAGCTCCTTCTAGCCACTCACATGGACCTCAGTATTCTAAGCTGTGAAATGGGACTCAGTGCAGAACTGTCTCTGGGTTGGGTTAGAGGGTGGTACTCTGGTCCCAGGATGAGTCTGGGTGTGGGGGCATGCTCAGGCTGGTGCAGGTCAGTGGCTGAAGCCCTGGGGGACACATCTCCTGTCTCCTCACTCCCTGCCCCTCAGCCGGCTCTGCCGTGGGCACCCCACACTGAAGGCTATTGAGATGTTCCACTTCCGAGGTCCGTCCCAGGTTGGAGACCGTCTGGTGCTCAAGGCCATCGTGAACAACGCCTTCAAGCATAGGTGAGGAGCTGGGCTGGGTGGGGCTTAGGGTGCTCCCTGACCCCACAGAGGAGCTTCATGCAAACCTGCCAAGACCTTCACCCTGTGAACTGGGTCTAGACCCTGCTTGGCTGCTGGTCCCTCCACCTCACCCAAGTGCAGCACCAGTGTTCCCTCCTCTGGAAGCTCCCCTGACTCCCCTGCTGCCCACCCTGCAGGGTCAAGGGTCCTGGACAGCACGAGGGTAGCAGCGACTGAGCTGGTAGCGCCTGGCTGCGAGGGCGCCTGGGAAATCTGTAGAATGGGCATTTCCTCCAGCGAGGTGGTCCATCTCCACCTCTCACAATGACCCCTGAGGTCCGAAGTGACCTTTTAGGACTTCTTCTGTGTTTGTAGGCTCATCCCCTGCTGTGAGCCCACGAGGCACTGACTGGACAGGACTATCCATTTCTGTGTCTCACAGGCTGGGCCCTGTGCTCTGTGCCCTGTAAACACTCTGTAATCAGTGATGGAAGGGGACACTTCTAGGTTCCTGCCAGTGGGACTCTGCACCGTGTGTGTGTGTGTGTGTGTGTGTGTGTATGCTCACTAGCTGGGGAGGGGCATGGCTGGGAAGTTCTGTCCAGCATGGCAGCCATCCCTCCCCCTCAGCATGGAGGTGGGCGTGTGCGTGGAGGCCTATCGCCAGGAGGCTGAGACCCACCGGCGGCACATCAACAGTGCCTTCATGACCTTTGTGGTCCTGGACGCAGATGACCAGCCCCAGAAGCTGCCCTGGATTCGGCCTCAGCCTGGGGTAAGCTGGTCAGCACCATGCCCCCCATGGGCTCCCTACCCCTCTTCTCTGCCTCTGACAGGCCTGGGGACTGAGGGGTCTGGCCCTGGTTCTCTGCTGGGGCCCAGCCAGCTCTGAGCGTCCTGGCCATGACCCCGGGGTGCCCCTGGGGTGAAGGCACACTGGGCAGGACTTGGATTGGGTGTGTGGGTCTGGCTGGTGTCGGGTGTTCATGGTCCTGCAAGCACCTGCAGAATTGGGAAGAGGCCTGGCATTTGGGTCAGAACCTCACCTCGTCACATTCTCATGGGTGGCCTTCTGAGCTTTCAGCCCCATCTATAAAATGGGTGTGTCTGTGTTCCCTGCCTCCCAGGGCTGTGGGGCTCACGGGGTGCCTGGCTAAGCCTGGAGGCACTCAGAGAGTGGTGGCTGTCAGGATGAGGGGACGGGAGTGAGAGGCACAGGGTGAGGGCCAGGGGCCTGGGCTCAAAGGCTGTCCAAAAATGCTGCTTGTGCTTCTCATGGACCAGGTGGTGACCTTGTAGTGGCCACCCGGTCTTTCCAGGAAAGTCCCCTGCCGCAGGGAGCAGGCAGGCAGGAGTAGCTGGGGGTGGGGGTCCAGCCTGAGGTGGGGGCTGCAGCCTTTGGTGCTCACGAGTGGGGACTTAGGTGGGCTCCAGGCCAGGCCATCTGAGCTCTGATCTCCCTGGACCCTGAGACTGTGGGCAGCCACACAGCTCTGAGCATCAGTTTCCTCCTATGTAAAATGGGTGGACTTGGGGCTGCTCTAAGAGTGGATGGCATTGCAGGGGGAGTCCGTGGGCCAGCGGCTGGTTCACAGCAAGTACCCAGTAAACGTGACCACTGCAGGTGCCCTCTAAGGATCCATATCTCCCAGAGGAGGAAACAGGCCCAGTGAGGGGGGGATGGCGTCCCCAAGGCCATTCACGGAGGCCTGGTGCTGCGGCCCAGTGCCCTTGCACTTTCCTGGCTGGGATCTTTTAACTCTGGCTGCCCCCGTGAGACATGAGCTCCACTTGAGGCTCCAAGGCCTCTCCTGGCCCTGGGGACAGTTAGGGGCAGAGTTGGGGTTAGCTGGTTGTGTCACCCACCCCACACCTGTCCCTGCTTCCTTCCCAGGAGGGCGAGCGACGGTACAGAGAGGCCAGTGCCAGGAAGAAGATCCGCCTGGACAGGTGAGTGCGGGCTCCTGGCAAGTTTCAGGGTTCTGTGCTGCTCCACTGACCCCAGGACACTTGACTTCCCTCAAGGCTGCTCATGGGCTAAGGCTTTTATTTTGGCCTCATTTATATAGTGGTCTTATGACCCATTTTTGTAGGGGTAAGGACATTGAGGACTTAGGGGTTAAGTGGCTTGATCCCAGGGACAGAGATAGGTGCCACTATAGTCTGCATTTGAACCTAGCCAGGCCTGAGGTAATTTTTAAAAAATATTAAAATAAAATTTTTTAAAAAAATTTTAGATTTTTAGTTGTTGATAGACCTTTATTTTATTTACCTATTTTTATGTGGTGCTGAGAATCTAACCAAGTGCCTCACACGTGCTGAGCTACAACTCCAGCCCCGGGCCTGGGTGATTTTAAATCCTGTGTTTATCCCATCAACCCTGAGGCCTGTGTGTCAGATGAAGAAAGAAAGACTTAGCTGAGCATGGTGGCACACGCCTGTAATCCCTGTGACTAGGAGGCTGGGGATCTCAAATTTGAGCCTAACATGGGCAACTTAGCAAGACCCTGTCTCAAAAAAACAAAACAAAACAAAAAAAAAAAAACATAAAGGGGCTAGGGATGTGGCTCAGTGGTAGAGAACCCCAGGGTTCAATTACCAAAAAAAAAAAAAAAAAACAACAACAACCTGCTGGGCACAGTGGCACTCACCTATAAACCCAATGGCTTGGGAGGCTGAGGCAGGAGGATCACAAGTTCAAAACCAGCCTCAGCAACAGCAAGGTGCTAAGCAAGTGGGTGAGACCCTGTCTCTAAGTAAAATACAAAATAGGGCTGGGGATGTGGCTCAGTGGCTGAGTGCCCCTGAGTTCAATCCCCAGCATCTCCCCTAAATAAATAAATAAATAAACAAACAAACAAACAAAATAAAAAGGGGTATGGATGTGGCTCAGTGGTAGAGAGCTCCGGGATTCAATCACCAGTACTGAAAAAAGAAAGAAAGAAAGAAAAAAAGTTTCTGAGAGGGGGCATCATTGCTAGTGACCAGACCCTGGTGTGACTGCCTGCACAGCAGCACTTTATACACTGAGTGCTGTAAGGCCAGGGGGTCACAAGGGGTCACAGGCCATGGCTAGTAAGAAAGTGGCCCTTGGTGGCATGCTCGCCATATGCCAATGTTCTTCTGTAAAGTCCCACAAGGCAGGTGTGACTATTGATCCCATTTCACAGAGGAGTACACGGAGGCCTAGGGTGGAGTTGCTCAGCAGAGACATGGGGACAGAGCTTTAAACCCTGCTCTCCCTCACAGCCTGGTCCCCTCTGGCTCTTTGGGGCCTGGCTGAGGTCCTGAGCTCTCAGGTGTCGCACAGTCCAGTCTCCCTAGCCAGACAGGACAGGAGTGCCTGACCCCACTGGGCTCTGCACAGGGCCTGGCAAACAGCTATGAAGTCTGTGGAGGGTAATGGCCTCTTCTTCCCTCCTCCCAGGAAGTACATTGTGTCCTGCAAGCAGGCAGAGATGCCCCTCTCTGTTCCCTGGGACCCTAGCAACCAGGTAAGGCTCTCTGCTCCAAGGGGACAGCCCTCAGGCCCATCAGGGTCCCCTCACCCTCCCTGTTGGAAGGAACCTGAAGGGAACAGGGACTAGGGAGGCCTACGCCTTGCTCAGAGGGTTAGTCTTCGAGGGGCTTGCCTACGTGCCCTGCTTGGCGGAAGGGTGCTGAGGCCTGAGAGCAGCTTGTCTGGATCAGAACCAGCCTGCACTTCCTTCCCCAAGGCCTCAGGCTCTCCCATGCCAGTGTGGCCTTGACCCAGGAACCCTCAGGAGGGGAGGGCAGCCTCTGTGTGCTCTTCCTAGGTGTACCTGAGCTACAACAACGTGTCCTCCCTGAAGATGCTCATGGCCAAGGACGACTGGGTGCTGTCCTCGGAGATCAGTCAGGTAGCTGACCCTGCCCACCCATGTTTTCTCTCCCTTCTGAGTGGCCAAAGGAGGCTGGTGGCCGGTGACAGGACCTCTCAGGCCACTTATGGCAGAAGGGGATCTCTTCAAAGCAATTTAGTGAGACCATGAAACCAACCCAGTTCTAGAAACATGCCTGTCCCCAGGACTGGAGCCCAGCCCTTCCCTCCTGCCTGCATATCTGCTGCTCCCTACCCAACACCCCTCCCTCCCTCTGCCCCTTCTATAGTGAGTCACCGCGGGGATGAGGGAAGTGGAGTAGCATGTGAGCTCTGCCACGCTTACCTGCACCTTGGACAAATCAATTGCCCACCAATGATGCGAGGAGTCACAGGGACACCTGGCTCTGAGGAGCCCCTGCATTGCTGCCTCAGGCACTGCTTGAGATTCCTTCCGGTCGGTCCCTTTGTGCTGACTTTGATCAGGGATCCATTCTGTGGGATGCAGCTGAGGCTGAGCGAGGTTTAAGCGCCAGTTCACAGTCACACAGCGAGTCAGTGGCCACCCTGAGCCTTCAGCCCCTGCCCCTAGCATCCCAGGCAGCACCCCACCACCCAGCACAGTCTGGGGAGGAGGTGCAGGGCTGAGGCTGCCCTTGGTCCATGCAGGTCCGCCTGTACAGCCTGGAGGAAGACAAGTTTTTCTCCTTCCATCTGGAGATGGTGGTGCACGTGGATGCAGCCCAGGCCTTCCTGCTGCTCTCAGACCTGCAGCGCAGGCCGGAGTGGGACAAGCACTACCGGTGAGGGCCTGGGGGCTAGCCAGGCTGGGTCCCTTCTCAGGACTGGGGTGGGATATGGTATCTCCTGTGGAGCTGTCCCACCTCATGCTCACCCCTGCTGGCCTTCAGTGGGAACTAGGAGTGCGGTGGGAGATTGTAGTCATGTTAGGTGGGGTCAGGGTCATAGGCATTTTTAGCTCTCAGGGAAGAGACTGAGCCTGGGATTGGACTTGGAGGCCTGGATTTAAGTCCTGTTTCTGCCTTAACTAGCTGTGTGACTTGGGGCCCCACTTCCTTTCTGGGCCTCAGTTTCCTCCCTCTTAATATGGGTACTTGGAATGGGAATCATGGATTTATACTCACAGGATATTCAAACCACATTCTGTGGAGTTTTGCTCCAAGGGGGCCCAGGGATTGCTTGGAATGAGGTTGGGAGGCTGAGGGGTGGGTGGGGCTCCCATGGGGCTCCCTCCCATGTTTAGACCATCTAAGTAAAGTAGCCAACTTGCAGAATTTAGTTTGTCAATTTTTTAAAGTATGTATGTGAATGTTACTTTTATTTATTGACACCAGGGATTGAACTCAGGGGCACTCAACCACTGAGCCACATTCCCAGCCCTTTTTTTGTATTTTATTTGGAGACAGGGTCTCACTGAGTTGCTTAAGGCTTCACTAAGTTGCTGAGGCTGGCTTTGAACTCACGATCCTCCTGCCTCAGCCCCGCAAGCCATTGGGATTACAGGTGTGCACCACCACGCCTGGCCAATGTTACTTTTAAATATAGTGATTGACTATGAATGTTATTCCTTTGAATACATTTGTTCCCCAAATTTACTGATTCTTCATATATCTTTTTTTTTTCCCCTGAAGCAAGCAGGAATCTTTTTGAAAAAGGAAGGTGAGAAAAAGACTTAGAACTCCTAGTGCAGGGCTCCTGGGAGAGGCAAGAGTGCCTGATTTTTTATATATCTTCTTGAATTTAGTCAGGGAAGATAAATATTTTTTAGGAAAATAGCCAAAATGTCAGTGCTCAATATAGGAAAGTTAATGTTTAAACTTGTGTTTTCTTCAAGACCCTTAAAGCATTTTCTGTTATGCGAACACCCTAGGTCTGGGGTCTTTGGTCACCTCTCCAATGGCTTATGAGAGGAGCCTCCATAAGGAGGGTCTGTGTGTCTGGCAATACAGGGTACTGTCATTTGGCAAGTTGATTTTTTGTTTTCTTGATGCTGGGGGCCAAACCCAGGGCCTCATGCATGCTAGGCAAATGCTTTACCACTGAGCCATACATATCACAGTTGACTTAAGACAAGTTTGCTTTCCCCTTCCTACCTGGTCTGCCTGCCCCGGTCTGGCCTGCTTGGCAGCATCGAACCTACTGAAGATCTCTTCACAGGAAGGGTAGTGCTGCTCTAAAGAGCCCAGGCCTGCGGGGTGCACTCTGGGAGACTGAGAGCTGGTGGGTGGTGGATGTGGGGAGGTGGGGAGTTGGAGGAGGTGGGCTAGTGATCATATGGAATCTTGATACTTGATGGCCTCTGGCATCCCTTGAAGGTAAAGAGAATCTCCAGCCTGTTTCCCTTTCCCCTGACCACAGCTACCCCACTCCCAAGACAGCCTCCCAGTGTAGGGGGAGAGCCAGGGAGGTGGCTGGTCTGGACATGGCTGTACCTATCTGTGTGGTTCTCCTCGTGTGCTGATGTGAGCCTGCGTGCATGTACCTGGGTATGTGTGTGCCGTGTGTGTCTGGGATTACGGTTCTCTGCCTGGAGGCTGAAATCCCAGCCCTGTGTCCCTCTTAGCTCTACAGTTAGGGACAGGTGATTGCCCTGTCTCAGCCCCTCGTCTATAACGTGGGGATTCTGAGGGTGCCCACTGCACAGGGCTGTGCCAGAGACATAACATGCATGTAGCCCTGAGAATAGTACCTGGCACACAGTGGGTACACACTAAAAATAAACCACAACTACCAAGCCTTCACACCTCTGTGGGACATACAGATGTACACAGATGCGTGTTCACAGTTATCTATCTGTGTCTGTCACGTGTGAATGGGTTTATACGTGGCTTTGTCCCTGTGTATTGGCTTGTGTGTCTGTGTGAATATGCCTGTGCCTGCATGTGTCCTTGGCTAGGCCTTCAGGCCCTCTGTCTGGGTCCTGCTGACTAGTGCAGGGAAAGAAGTCTCCATCACAGATGGTGCTGAGGGCGGCTGTGGCATGTGGGGCCCAGCAGACCCACTGTCCCATGGGAGCGGGTGTGGCTCCATGGGCCCTGAGCTCTGGCCTCCCCCCAGGAGCGTGGAACTAGTGCAACAGGTGGACGAGGATGATGCCATCTACCACATCATCAGCCCTGCCCTTGGTCGTGATGCCAAGCCCCAGGACTTTGTGATCCTGGCCTCACGGCGCAAGCCTTGTGACAATGGGTAGGTGCCTACCTTCTGGGGATGCAGTAAGGTGGCCAGCTGGGGAGGCCTCATCCCCCTCCCTGGGGAGGGAGCATCATTCTGGAGTTAGACTCTGCTTCCCATTGGTTGTGGGATCCCAGGCCCCACTAGATTTTTCTGGGCTGCCATGGTTTTACTGTGGGTAAGGTGGGAAATGGAAGCTCACACTTCATCTTGAGTCACCTGTGCCCTAAAGCAGGGCCCTCCGTGGCCTGGGTGGCCAAGGCTGCCACACTCAAGGCCCTGGACAAGGCACTTCTCACACGTACTCCTTGGACTCTCCTCTTTGTGACTGGAGGGCCATGAGCCTGTCAGCTCTGCCACTGGTGGGGAGGCCAAGATAGTGGTGTCCCTTCTGTCTAGACAGGGACAGGAGGATGAATAAAATCACATGCGGCTCTCCCCCTGCCTGTCCACAGTGGAGGGACTTTTCCAGGCGACCCCCCAGCGGGTGGTGTAGCTGCCTCTTCTCCCCAGCCTGGCCTGGAGCCAAAGCTCAGGCTTGGGGGATGGGGTGGACCCTCCCTTCTGTGGCTGATCTCTGCCCCCTCCGCTTCCCTCCACTCCAGGGACCCCTATGTCATTGCGATGAGGTCAGTCACGCTGCCCACGCACTGCGAGACACCAGAGTACCGTCGTGCCGAGACCCTCTGCTCAGGCTTCTGCCTCTGGCGCGAGGGGGACCAGTTGACCAAGGTGAGGCCTGGCGTTCAACAGCATTTTTTTGAACTATACTGAGCTCAATGCTGCTGGGCTAGGACAAGTCCAGACCTGGGTCCCCTTCCAGCATCCTCCCTCTCCCAACCTGGGGGAGCCTCAGAGTATCCTGAAAAGGAGGCTGCATTAAGATCTGATGGGTGCGACTAAATGAGAGCCTGGAGAAAGCTCAGGATGCCGACAGCAGAAGGCTGGGTTCTGATCTAAAAATTCATCTCATTATTTATTTACTTGTATACTTCTTGTCTGGGAAGGCTTTATATGGCTCTGAGGCCCATAAAACTCAGCAAGGCAGTCCGCGTTAATTGAAAAGGTGGGGAGGAGGCTGAGAAAGGGGGGACTTGAGCTCCCACACCAGCTTCCAGCTCCTGTGGGGCCCTGCAGCTCCAGTCTGGTGAGCCTCAGCCAGTGTTGGCTACATCAACACACTTGAGCCAACAGGCTGGGGGTGGGGGCCATGTTCCAGGCCAAAGTCCAACGTTTCTCTGCAGCCCCAGAGCACCTTTATTTAAGGGGGATTCTGTAGGAGGTTCTGGAGACCTAGCCCCTTCCCTGAACGCCACATAACTGAGGGAAAAGATGCCCAATGACAGTACAGTGTGTGGTGACTGGCAGCCAGGGTTGTCAGCACCCTGAGGAGGGTTAGGGGAAACCGGCTGGAGAAGGTCACGCCTATCAACTGACCTTCAAGACTCCATGGAGCTGGGCTGTATCTGCTGCTCTCCCAGAAGGCGACTCTCCCCAGCCCTGCCTCATGCCCAGGGGTGGGCCATGCCCCTCACCCTTCTCTGCTTCCCTGAGCATAGCTTCCTGCTCTGCAGGTGTCCTACTACAACCAGGTCAGCCCGGACTTCCTCAACTACGTGACCACCAACGTGTCCGGCCTCTCCTCGGAGTTCTACACCACCTTCAAGGCTTGCGAACGTTTCCTCCTGGACAATCGCAATGACCTGGCCCCCAGCCTCCAGACCCTCTAGGCTCCCCTCCAGCTGCCCCCAAGGACTCTCGTGCCGTGCGAGGAGGAAGGCAGAGGCATTTATTCCTCCTGCCTCCTGCAGGGAAGCTTGGACCTAGGAGTTGGCTGGCCCGGCACCACTGGGCGGTCAGTTTCTGCCAACATCTGCCCACGAGTCCTTGTGGTACCCCTGGGGGGGCCTGCAGTAGACTCTGGTCCTGTCCACCCCGCTGGCTGCCAGCAGCCCTGCCCACACAGCTGTACAGCTGCTCCCAGTGGGGCTGTGCTGCACTGTGACGGTGGCCCGGGGGGAGGCTGCCAGCAGCCTGGCCACAGCTCCCACCATGCTCTGGTCCAGTGGCCCGGCTTGCAGCTGGAAGGACACAGGTTGCCAGAGTCCCTGGCAGAGCTCCAGCATATCCATGAGCAGCCGCTCCCCATAGCCACTGCCTAGCATCTCCTCGGGCCAGCTGGGTGCCACGGTCACATGGGGGAATACCTCAGCCACAGCCTTAAGGAACTCTTTGCCAGCCGTGTGGCCAGGGACCACAAAACTCCCATATGAGATTGTGGCCCCGACCCATACAGGCCGAGGCAGGTGGCCAAGGGCTGAGAGGTGTGCCAGGATGGCCAGGGACGGACGGAGGGCTGCGGGCTCTACTATGTGCACGTGGAGGCCCCAGCGCCCAGGGCGTGTGGCCAGCTGCAGCAGGCATGACTCCAGTGTCAGGGCAGCGCTGCCTGGGGCACGGACGATGGGCACAGGGTCCCCGGCTGCAGTTCCCTGGAGACCAACGTCCAGCAGGATCACGCCTTCTCTGTCTGGAAGAGGCAACCATGGCTGGTCTCAGGTTCCCAAGGGAGCCAGAATCTCTTGTTAAAAGGGCACGGGGTGGGGTGGGGGTGTGGCTATGGGGACGGCCTTGCCTCTCTGGAATCCTCTAACCTTGTTCTGGGTTTCAGTTGTGGTGCCTGGTACTTGTCAAGACTAAAGTGATAAGCTGCCAGCTCAGCTCTTGGCCTTTACTTGTGACATAGACCTGGGGCAGATGCCGGCTCCTCCTATAGCATCATGTGACTGAGGACTCAAGAGAGCTGGTCTGAAGGCCAGGAAGCCGGTGCTCTTGAGACTACCCCACTCCCCCGGCCCCACCCTACTTTGTATCCAGTGTGTGGCTTACATGGGCCCATGTTGCCATGGTAACCGAGGTCCAAGGTCCACTGGCAAAGGACACCCTTGCAGGTCAGCTAGGGGTACCAGGGCTGTAGACAGACTTACCAGGGAGCGTGATCACTGCTGTTCTGCCATTGCCTTGCACTTCTGGAAGCAGCCACTCCACGCCCAGACCATCACCCGCGGGTGGCTGGAGAACAGGGATCAGGCTACTGCCGGTGTAGTACATTCGCTTCCTTGTGGCATTCACTGTGGGGTCCAAAATTGTTGAGATGAAGTGGCCATTCAGAGTGCCTTCTATATGCTCCGATTCTACCTTATTCCAAGACTCTTGCTGTCATCTCCCCGCTTTGATAGACTAGGAGAAGTGATTTGCCCAAGGTCCTTCAGCAGTTACTGGATTGGAACTGGATGGAACCAGAGCTAGCTGTACCCACAGCTAGTATCCTCCCCCTCACTTAGGTAGCTCCCACAGTGGGGATGTGGACTCTGATGGGACCCCCTGTGACCATTCAGCTGCAGGGTCAAGGGAGCAAATATGCACAGTAGCATCTGGATTATTAAGTCTCACCCACAGAGAGACTGTGCTACATGGAAAGTCTACAGGGTTGGAATTTGCTGAGTTCTGATAAGAGCTCTGCCTTGTTAAGATCTGATGACATATAAACTCTGTAACTGTTTACACCTGTTTCCCTACCTATAAATTGGAACTCCGGCTTCATGAATATGACACTTAAATAGAATGCCATCCCGGGGCTAAGTTGCAATAGCAGAATCTCTCCTCCTATTCCACCCAGGATCTTCCCCTTCTGATGTTCCTTCCCCCCAGCTCTGCTCCAGGGCCCACCCAGGGGCTGCCCTATGCAGAATCCAACCCACACCACCCTCCCCAGGCTCCTTCCTTACAGGCCTGCTGCTTGAACTGTGACAGGACAGGCTCAAAGAGGTCATAGTAGACTTGGTGGGTGGCGGTGTTGTCCCGGATGTAGAGGAGATCATCCACTGACACGGGGTCGGAGGCGCCCTGCCACAGTGTCAGGCTGTACCTGGGCCCAGACAGCTGGCTCAGTGCCAGTCTGGGCCCAGCAAGACCCTCGGCCCCCGTCCTGTGCTCAGAACCAGAGGCTGGCTGGGCCCAAGGGTGGGGCATCAGTCCTCCAGTGTCACACAGCCCCTCCTCCCTGAGCACTGCCCATTCCTGGGGGTAACTGCAAGCCAAAGTCTGGAAGGACAGAGGAGCTGTCCACTCAGAGGGCCTATTTTCGAGCTCTGCCTTAGGAAAGGGACAAGGACAGAGGGCAAGGTGTGGGGAGGAGGTCAAGTGTGAAGAGGGAAGTGGGCCACCTTGGGATTTTTGTGGGGAAGGGCTGAGAAAGGGAGGGTTGGGCGGCTGAGAGCTGGTTGCAGGGTAGGGTGGGGGGGTCCCTTAAGCCCTATAGGGCTATTCTGGGCAGAGGTTGTAGGTATAATCTCTGCAGCCGCAGGGGCATAGGTGGCCTATGGGAGGAAGCTGCCGGGAGATGGATTCTGTCTCATCTCAGAATAAACATTTGTTAACAGGCAGACAGTTACCCACCAATGGAAACCTGCCCTCCCCACCCCCAGGAAGTAGTGAGCAGCCCGTCACCAGAGGTATACAAATAAAAGACAGGGACATTGTAGGTGTGAGCACCAGTAGGGTTGGACAAGATGATCTTTAGGACTTTCTAGCCTAAAGGTCGGGATCAGGGATCTTCCCCCGGCACCTAATCCCAGAGGTGGGTTTGAAACCAGCAGGGGCGTGAGAGAAGCTGTGGGGTTTCACCTTTCCGACTGGCCCAGCAGCCAGCTGAAGTGGGGCCAGGCAGCCCGCACCATGACAGCCCGCACAGGGAAGGTGACCCTCTGTGGCAGCGCTCCCACCAGCTCCTGCATCTTCTCCACCATGGCTTGAGTGTAGGTGCTGTTTGGGAACAGGGGCATGTAGAGGGTGGTCCAGCCTGGAGACAAGGTGGCTTGAGGATACTTCTCCTGGACCAGTGCCAGGAACCTGCAGAGAAGGGAGACACCGGTCTTTCAGAGCCACGCTGGTCCTGTCCTCTTCTCTTGTGTCCTCATCACAGCGAGAGGAAGTGGCGGGGCCTGTTGAATCTGTGACAGGAGGGCAGCTGCAGAGCCTGAAGAACAGAGTGACTTGTTCACAGACCCACAAGTGGGGCACGCACTCTGGGGCCAGGGAAGTCTGGGTTCAGGCCCTGACTCTGACCTGGGGCTGGTCAACCTCTGATTCTCAAATAACAGCATCACTTCCGAAAAGGAAGGGCTGCTTCTTCTCTGTACTCGGGATTGAACCCAGGGGCTCTCGATCAATCATCTACATCTCCTTTCCTTTTTAATTTAATTTTGTATTTTCAGCTAGGGTCTCACTAAGTTGCCAAGGCTGGCCTCGAGTTTGTGATACTCCTGGCTTAGCTTCCTGAGCTTCTGGGATTATAGGCATATGTCACTACACCTGACAAATTTCAGACTTAATTTTTTTCTTTTTTTCAAATTTTGCTTTTAAGCCAGGTGTGGTGACACACGCCTGTAATCTCAGAGACTGGGAGGTTGAGGCAGGAAGATCGTGAGTTCAAAGCCGGCCTCAGGGGGCTGGGGTTGTGGCTCAGCGGTAGAGTGCTCGCCTAGTATATGCAGAATGCTGGGTTCGATCCTCAGCGCCACATAAAAATAAAATGAAAGTACTGTGTTGAACTACAACTAAAAAAAAAATATATTAAAAAAAATCCCAGCCTCAGAAACTTAGTGAGGCCTCAGGAATTTAATTATACCCTGTCTCCAAATAAAATATAAAAAGGACTGGGATGTGGCTCAGTGGTGAAGTGTCCCTGGGTTTAATCCCTGGTACAAAAAAAAAAAAAAATGCTCTTATGCAAATTTTAACATGCAAACAATCCTTCCCCCCCACATCATGAGTAAAATCAACACTCCAAGAAGACTAACCATATTTCTCTTGGTCCATTGACTACATTTTCAAACTCCTACTTTCCAAGTGTCCCAGTTGGAGACACACATGAACGTTGGATGGATGGTTTGATGAACAGATGGGGTGAGAAAGAAATGGAAGGTAAAGAGCATGGAGCTTAGAACGACAAAGGCCTAGGTCTGAATCTCTGCTCTGCTACTAATAGATGTAGGCAGATCATTTAACTTCCATAAGATAGTTCCTATATTTGTAAACCCAAGGCGATAGCACCTACCTCATTCTCATTACAAGCGTTAAGTGGTATTCTTCAAGTAAAGTGCTTAAAACAGTGCCTGGGAAGCACAATAAACATTCAACAAGTTGAGCCTCAATTTCTGTGATTTTTTTTCACATCTGTAGAATGGGGAGGAAAACCCACTCCTCACCTAGCAGTGCTGCCTGCTTAAGGACCAAGTTAAGGACATCCCTTCCTTCCATACAAACCTCCTTTGCAACCCACTGCACACTCTGCAGCTGGTGTCCCAGGGCTGTTAGTGGAAGGATGTGCAGGGGGACTGGGATGGAGCCAATGTTTTAGACTTTTCTTGCAGCCAAGTCCTGAGCTTGGCCCTGTCTGCCCCCTGGGAGTCCACAGTGGGGGTGAAAACCTGTGAACGGTGATCACCCAATGAGATTGGGGCTGTGTTAGGAAGAAATTTGGGAACTGTGGGCCCCAGAGGAAGCCTCTTAGCAGCCTGGGAAGTCAGGTATATTTCTGGAGATGTTAGTAACTGGGCAGAAGTTCTTCCAAAAAGGGGGAAAGGCACTCAAGACAAAAGGAACAGCATATGCAAAGACTCAGGTGAGATTACATGGTGGACTGAAGGCAGACTCAAGGAAGGTTCGCTAAGTTCTCCTTCCATGCTAGGTGTTGATGGAAGAGGGCTGGATGCAGCTGGGGCAGAGAAGTGAACACTTACTGGGTGGCATTGACCTCAATTGGGAGGGGCACATTGGGGCCCCTTAGAATGTCAGCATTGAGCCACACGGGCCTCCGGACTTTTCCGGCTTCTGTCAGCTGTTGCAGGAGGTCCAGGGAGGGGCCCACGGCCTTGAGGCTCTTGAAGTCCAGTTTGATACCTGTGGGGAGGAGGCAAGGGCTTGGGGAACTGGAAGATGTGACTCTAGTGGCTGAGCCAGCAGGTAGGGTGTGTGTGATGGAGGTTCGGGAAGGTGGGAAGACAGGGCAGATGGTGGCTGGGTGTGAGGACTGTCTTTTAAACAGAGCCAACCCAGAGAAGCGCTCGCCTCTAGAGCAGTGAGTCCCACCCGCTGTGGGGCGGAAGCAGAGGCCAGCTAAGGGCCTGGGCATGGGGATTCCTGGACAGGCTCAGAGGCTCCTGAACTACCAGGGCCTGCAGGGAAGTGGTGTGGCCGCCAGAAGGGGGTGTTTGAGGGAGCATCTAGGCACAGTCAGGCAATGCAAATGGAAGCCCATCTCATTCAGGGTGGTGCGGAGGTGGGGCTGGAAAATTAGAAAAGATATTGAAAGCCAGGCCAAGACAATGGGGAGCCATTGAGGGTCAAAGCAGGAAATGTTATGAAAATACTGGCCTTTTGGAATGGTCACAGTGTATGTGTGTGTGTGTGTGTGTGTGTGTGTGAGAGAGAGAGAGAGAGAGAGAGAGAAAGAGAGAGAGAGCGCACCTGCACATGAGCACTCAGTAGGCAAGGGAAGGCCAGAGGGGCTGAGTTTGGGACAGGAGCCAGTGAGGAAGGAGGTCCAGGAGAGGGATGTCGGGGCTGGGGCTGGAGATCGAATTTGCAGATGCAGCAGCTGAGTGGAGGGTGGGGGAGAGGGAGACACTAGGAGGGTGCCTGGGTTCTGAGGGTACCTGATACTGTGACATGGGGGCAGGTGTGAAGTTTAGCTCTGAACATCTTGCATCCAGTATTGTGGATACAGGAGGGGACGCCCTGAACACAAGGTGCACTTTGTAGTTTGCTCTGCACTGCTCTGGCACCTCATCTCACCCGTGTGTCCAGGAGAGGACACCTGGACATGCACCTTTACTTCCCCACCTCACCCGGTCTTCACTGAGCCTGCGTGTCTGGCACACTGGGAAGGAAGTCAGGGTGGTGAGCAACTGGTGAGGACCTCTCCCCAGGACCAGAGAGCTGGGGTGCTGAAGGGGGGTCCAGGGTGCACATACCCTTCAGGGAAGAGGCTAGCACCGTCTCCAGCCACTGCTGCAGGGTGTTGTCACTGTAGATGGCAGGGGGATGGGCCATGATGGGGACCCCTGTCTCATTCGCGGTATTGAGCCCATGGACAGTAACATCTGCCTCCAAGACCATGGAGTTGCCTGTTTCAGGGTCAGAACACAATTCAGTTTTTAAAAACATTTTTTCTCATCATAAGGGTATTATACATTTGTTATAGAACATTTGAAAATACAGAAAAACAGCAGAGGGAAATAGTTAGCCACATTTCCATCATAGCTCATGTTTTAATGGATTTTCTTTCATTTTTGCCTATGGGTAATTTTTGCAAAGTTGAAAACTACCTTGCATTTATAATTTTTTTTTCTTGCAACATTATGAGACATTTTCACAATCTTCTTTACATCTCATTAAAACAAAACTGGATACAGTGGTGCACACCTGTAATTCCAGAGCCTCGTGAGGTTGAGGCAAGAGCATTACAAGTTGGAGGTCAGCCTGAGCAACTTAGAAAGCTCAGAAACTTAGAGAGGCCCTAAGCAACTTGGTGAGACTGTTTCAAAATAAAAATGAACAAATAGAAAGGGCTGTGGATGTAGCTCAGTAGGAAAACACCACTGGGTTAATCCCTAGTTCCAAAAAAAAAAAAAAAAGAAAAAAAAAAAAGTAACAACAAAACTAGTCAAAATACCTTGTTGAGGGTATTCACTATGAATGATTTACCATCCCCCCACCCTTGAATCATTTGGATTGTTTCTAATTTTTTGCCAAGATTTTCTGATCCCTCCTAATAGGATCTGAGTGCAGGATAAAACAGGATATATATATATATATATGGTATAAACACACACACACACACCTATGTACAAACACACACATATATATAAATACCAGATACTTAAATATATATGATTGAACCTGGGTCCTCAAAAATGCTAGGCAAGCACCAGTGAGCTACAGCCCAATAAAGGATCATTTACAAGACCATATTATCAAGTTACGTTCCAGAGAGGCTGTTCTGCTTCATATTTCCACCTAGTGAACAGGGATGGCCTCCCTCACCTACATACCTATCAGCACTGGGCATTGTTATTTTTATCTTTTAATTTCACAAGATTAACTCCATCAGGAGAATGTCCCTGTCTTTGAGAGTTCATCTAGTAGGGGCTCAGGCCTTTCTAAAAGTCTCTGAAGACCATGCAAGGGGTGCTTGAGTTTGGGAAGTGTAGTGGACTGAGGGGGGATTCAAGTCCAGCTTCCACAATATCACAGGCAACTAATGTTGGCAGGGGCCTTTCTCCAGTGTACTGAGCCTGACTGCTTTTGATCCCTCTAGCATGGCTCCAAGCCTCTTCTCTCTCTCTTTTTTAATATTTATTTTTTTCCTTAGTTGTAGTTGGACACAATACTTTTATTTAATTTATTGTATGTGGTGCTGAGGATTAAAACCAGGGCCTTGCACATGCTAGGCGAGCACTCTACCACTGAGCCACAACCCCAGCCCTCCAAGCCTCTTCTCTACAGAGTGTTCTAAACACCTACCTGACCACATCATCATCCTGATAAAAAACAAATTAAAAAACTCACTAAAAATCCACCCATATTCCTGAGATTCAGATCCAAATTCTGTAAGGTCATCTTTACAGCCTTCATGACCAGACCCTGACAACATTTTCCAGTTTCATCTCAGTTCTCTTTCCCTCCCTCTTGCCTTGGGTTCCAGCCACTCCACTTTTTCCAACTTTAACATGCACAGAAATCATCCAGGAACTGTTAAAATGTAGGTTCTGATCAGTGGATGTGGGGCAGCACCAAGATTCTGCATCTCTAATGTGCTCCCCAAAGAGGTCCATGCTGCTGGTCCCTGGACCACACTTTGAGTGGCAAGACTCTAGCTTGTCTTGTCTTTCCCATCTCTGGGTTCTTAGGTGTGGCTGCTACCTTGAAACCCTCTTCCCTCCACACCTCTCACCCAGGGTGGGGAGAAAACATCACTTCCTCAGGGAGCCCCAGTCTGCTTCATGCTGTCAGGAAAGCCACCTTCTCCTTTGCGTGCTCAGCCAGGGCGGTGCTCTTGCTCACCCGGTGCCAGCCATCCTGAGTATCACTTCTGTGACAACAGGGTCTGGGTGGGAACTGACCATCCCTCGAATTCCTGGTGCCTAGAGGGAACCAGGACTAAGAAAGTGCTTCAAAGATGGGTGTTGAATGATGGGCTGAGTCATTAATGGCAAAGTCAAGAACAGCCTTGCCAGGCCCAGGCTGATGCTAGAGGTCACCCAACGCCCTGGAGAATTTCAGCAGATTTGTCTAAACCAGGTGCCTAGGTTTCTAGGATGGAGGTCACTGACCATGGGCTGCTGCCAGCACTTCTTACATCAGCCCATTCCATCCTTGAGTTATACCTCGTGCTTCGAAGTGGCTGGGACCCTGCTGCTCTCATTAGTGAGAGGGGACGAGCTTCCCTGCTCCAGAACACAAGATATGGCCACAGAGCTGATCAGGATCCGTGAAGGGCTTTGTGAGTGTTGTGAAGATGGACTTTGTGACTGAAACACAAAGTCCTTTTGTATCTTAACTTTTGGCCACTTGGGAATGCAGTGAGAGGGGTCAAAGGTTTTGGGGCTCCATGAGGCCTAGGGAAGCCAGGCCCAAGGTGCACCTGGTAGATAAGAGGGTAGCTTCAGAGGTGAGCACCGAGGTCCCTCCCCTATTTCACTGGGGCTAGTTCTGGCCTGGTGAAAGTAGAGGTGCCAAAGGAGGAAGCAGGGTAGGGTTGGGGGAGCCATGTTTCTGCATCCCAGTGACCTTCCCTTGAGACCCCAGGAGCATCTTAAAGACAGCCCATGGCTGACTCATTTCTCATTCTTCTTCCTGGGTCGGGTCCACACAAATACTCAGCAGATGGGACAAAGTACTGGTGGAAATTCCACTCTGAACCTAATTGGCCTCCTCGTAATCACTACCTGGACCAGCTTCTTCCTGAGAAATCTTCTCCCTTAAAAATTGTTTCATGGCTGGGAGCAGTGACATACCTCTTGTAATCCCAGCGGCCCGGGAGGCTGAGGCCGGAGGATGACTACTTCAAAGTCAGCCTTAGCAAAAGTGAGGCACTAAGCAACTCAATGAGACCCTGTCTCTAAATGAAATACAAAATAGGGCTGGGGATGTGCCCCTGAGTTCAATCCCTGGTATCCTCCTCCCACCAAAAAAAAAAAAAAAAAAAAGTTGGGTCATGCTTTCCAAGGGCTGTCTTGCTTGGGGAGTGGGAACAAAAAGGGACAAGAGAGACGAGGGCAGGATGGGGTTCCTGTGGCCACAGTAGGAGCCCGGGTCCTCAGGGGGTTGCCATCAGAGTGAAGGATGCTGCTCTCCAAAGGGAAAGGGACCTGCAGTTCCCAAGTCCTTCACCTACCCTCCCTGGGCCAGGAGGGTTAGGCATTGAGGAGGGACAGCATGGTGGCTGGGGGTGCAGACCCCCAATCCACACCACTGCCTTCCAGCCCCGGCCCTCACACTGGCCAGCTGTGGAACCCTGGGCAGTTTCTCTGACCCCTGAGCTGGTTACCTCATCTATAAGAATTAAGTAGTAAAACGCCCCTGGTTAGTGTTCACCAAGTGTTAATTATTATTTGCACAGAGTAGCTCACTTACCTAAGGTAACCTGGGACCCCCTGGTTTATTTCCGTTGCTCAGCATAATTCCCAATCCTGACCTCGTTCGAAGCCAAACGTGCCCTGGCTTGGATGATAAATGATCACCTTACGGGTCTACACTGTACAGAGTGGGGAGCTTAGCTGTAAACTAGCTAAGTCACTTGTCTCAAATCACTCTGCTGATAAATGGCCAAGGGAAAATTAGAGCCCACTTCTGCCTGCCTTCCGGGTCTCCTCTCCACACAGATGACCAGTTACATTCAAGATGGTTTCACCAGCCCACCTCTGTAGCAGCGTCCCTTTAGGAAGGCAATACCCTCCTCCAGAGGTCTACCATAGGGACCTGGCAGAATCCTCAGGAGGAGAGGAGACCTGGGGTCTTCTCTGGACCCCCAGAGCTAGGCTAAGGGGAGCCTGTGCAGTTCCCTGCTGGTGGCAGGGCCTGCTTGGGGAGCTTGGCTATCTTCTCAACTAAGGTCCTGCCTTGGTGGGGCCTTGATGGTTCCTACCAGTGTCAGGGCTGAGCTGGGAAGAACCTGGGGGTGGCAGGTCCTTCTTTCATTCCCTCAGTATTTTTCTCCTTGGATGAGTACTTCTCTGGCTTGGATCTCTGTCAGGGCAGAGGGCTCTTTGTCCTCCTAGTCACCAAGGTCTAGCAATTAGCCTCCAGGACAGAGAAGATCTGGAGCAGCCACAAACTTCCCCACCCAGCCTGCCTCATCTGGAAAGTCCTCCCTACCCACCTCTCCTCATTCATTCATTCATCAAGCATTTCCCAGGCTTTAATCTTAAGCCCACAGGTGTGGGGAGCCTGCAGGCATTAGAGGCTGGCTCCAGGCCTCACTCTGCTTCAGACCCACTGTGTGACCTTGGATAAGACCTTCTCCCACTCTGCACCCCAGTTTCCTCATCTGAAATTGGAAGGTTTTTCTTGGGCCACAGTTCTCAAAGTGCAGTCCTGCGTCCAGCAGCATAAACCTCACCTGGGAACTTGTGGGAGAGGCAACTTCTCGGGCCCCACCCTAGAACCACTGAGTCAGAAACCCAAGGGGGGGTCGGGTTGGCACCCTGTGTCTTCTGAAGCGGGCTCAAGTCTGAGGACCATCGACTTCATCTCTTACAGCTTAGAGCACCAGCACTTCGACGAACATTTTCTATTGAGCTTTCCAAATGTCCTGAAGGACAGAGAGTGTTTCCTCGTTGACCCAGGGATCAAGCACAGCACAGGGGCTTGGGCATGCCCTGTGGGGCTCCTCCACTCCCTAACCACTTTCTGACAGCACAGCCTAGAGTGAGTCCATGACTTCTCTGAGCCTCCATTTTTCTTCTATAAAATGGTGCCCATGAAGAGGGCTGCACAGTGTTCCCTGGAGAACCCCTGTCTGATGTGGATATGTGTGTCCCACCTGAGTGGCAGCTGACTGGTCACCCATAATCATTTTGCATCTGAGACTCAGAGGAGTCACATAAGCTACTCAGGTGTTCACCATTCATTTTAGTAGCTCCAGGATTCCAATTCATATCTCTGGCTTCCTTAGACCTTGAGGGCAAATGTCTCCTTAGGAGGACAGTGGGCGTCTGACAGGCCAAGGGACAGAGGGCAGTACAGTGGTGACTTTGGAATCAGACGTCTGCTCCGAATCCCAGGCTTGGAGCTCATCACCTGCACTACCTGGAGCCAGTTCCTCAGTGTCCAGGGCCCCACTTCCCCAGGTGGAGTATGACAAGAACACAAAGATGGCCATTCTAAGGCTGCAGTGACCATGGCTTCTCGGCCTCCCCTCTGCCCGCCTCCTCTCCTCCGTCGCACCCCGCCCCCCGACCTGTCCCAGTTCTGGCAACTGGACTTACTGCTCAGGGCAGCCTTCATCTCTTCCTGGCTGTTGGCTGCGTGGTACCAGGTGACTGACAGGCCATCCCGGTGACTGATCTGCCCCAGGCTCAGCAGGTACTCCAGCATGTCCGCGTCAGGGCGGCAGATGTCCTGCTCACAGCCTGGAGTGAATGCCAGGAGCTGTTACTGTCCATCCTAGCCTCAGCCCAAGGTACTTACCTGTCACCCCCAACCCTCCCTGGACTCCCACCATGTCCTGCAGGGGACTGTGAGGCACACGGTCCCTGGTGCTGCCAGAGAGGGAAAGGCACAGGATTCTGGGGCCATGGAGGCTCTGGTGCTGCCTGGGGCAGAGAGAGGGAAGTCACAGAGAAGGGGACATTCAAGGGGCCTTGAAGATGGATATATGTTTGACAGAAAATGGGGAAAGAACAGACAGAAAGAACAACAGACATGAAGGCTTGGTCTCGGGAAAGCATGGTTGTAAACCATGGTTGTTTAAAAAGAATGGCCCCTGGCCTGCTACAGACGGAGACGGGCCAGGCAAGGCTAGAGAAGAGGGCTACAGGCAGGTGGTGAAAGGTCTTAGATGCCAGCAAAGGAGTGGGGTGGGTCCTGGGGGCAGGGAGTGAGTGGGTTGTTTAGAACAAGGTCGCTGGCTCAATCCCTCTCCTCCGTCTATACCCAAAGGACTTAAAAACAGCATATTACAGGGACACAGCCACATCCATGTTTATAGCAGCACAATTCACAATAGCTAAACTGTGGAGCCAACCTAGATGCCCTTCAGTGGATGAATGGATAAAAAAATGTGGCCTATATACACAATGGAATACTACTCATCAATAAAAGAGAATAAAATCATGCATTTGCAGGTAAATGGATGCAGTTAGAGAAGACAATGCTAAGTGAAGTTAGCCAATCCCAAAAAACCAAATGCCGAATATTTTCTTTGATATAAGGAGGCTGATTCATAGTGGGATAGAGAGCAGGAGCACGGGAGGAATAGACAAACTCTAGATAGGGCAGAGGGGTGGGAGGGGAAGGGAGGGGTCATGGGGTAATTAATGGTGGTGGAATGTGATGATCATTATTTATCCAAAGTGCATGTATGAAGACATGAATTGGTGTGAATATACTATGTATACAACCAGAGATATGAAAAATTGAGCTCTATATGTGTAATAAGAGTTGTAATGCATTCTGCTGTCATATATAAATTAAAAGAAAAAAGAAAAAGCTCGCTGGCTGCAGAGAGGGACAGGTACTGGCAAGAGCAAGCTAGTGGCAGAGGGACTTCGTAGGAAGGGGAGGCCACTGCAGGGTCCAGGAGATCAGAGGTCTCAGAGGCGGGGCTGCGGGGAGGGTAGAGGGTGGAAGGCAGAGCCCTCAAGGTTCAGGAGCCGGGCATAGGCACCAGGCTCAGGGAATGTGAAGGCTCCCCCAGGTTCACCAAGAAAGGGATAAGGAGAGGGAGGGAGACAGGGAGAGGCTGAGTTCAGCCCAGACTGTTGAGTTTGAGGAGCCCACAAAATTCCCAAGAGGGAATACCCATCTGAGGGCAACGGAGGGAGGTCTGGGCCGAAGGCTGGGGTTTGGTGGTCTTCAGGCAACTGACCAGGGGAAAGAAAATCAGTGGAACCCTCCACTGGGGTTGAAGTCTTGGTAGGGTTGGGGTATGGAAGAGGCAGCTAGAGCTGTGGGTAGGGGTGAGTCTAGTTGGAATAAGGGACAGGAAAAGATCTGATCAGCTGTTGGTAGGAGAGCCTTGGTGGGAACAAGGAAGGACAGCAATGGGGAGACCAACTGTGTGGCTGCAGGATGACTCTTACCTGATCGAGTGCCCCGCTGTAGGGTGAAGCCCAGCACCATCCCAATGGTGAACAGCAGAGCCACACTGGCACTGCCGGCAAGGACCCACTTGGTCTGATGCTCCGAGCAGCTCTTCCTGCAGGCCATGCTGACCCTTTCTAGAGAGTGTTCCCTTCCCTACTCCTCACAGCCCAGAGTCCCTGAGACTCCCCACAGCTGGGATTGGGTTGGGGGCAGGAGATCCAACAGCACCTAATGCTCCTCCAGACAGGCTCCTGCAGTCCTGGATGTCCCAGCCTGGAGACAGCTCCTTAAGTCCCTCCTCCCTCCCCGCCCTCCTCCTCTTCCCCTCACCCTCCCTGCATCTTAACAGGTCAAGCAGAAAATCCTGCCATCCCCCAAATGACCTTTGAGCACAATAATAGGTAATGAAGGACATGGCCTGGGCCCCCACCCCTGCCTGTGGCTCCTGCCTGGGGGTTGGAAGGCCAGAGATCTAGTCCAGCTCAACCTTGTTTTCCTGGTGGTCTGGGGCAAACATCTGCCCTGCTCCTGGCCTCATTCTGTCCCTGTGGTGATTCGTAATGGCCTTTTCTCTTCTAACTCTAGGACTTTCTGCCCTGCCCCAGAAAAATCCCTGGGTCAGGGAAGGGTTTGTGACAAGGAGAGATTAAATCTGCCCAAGTGACATAATTTTCCTTTTATCTAAGATTACAGCTGGTGGATTGAACTGGGATCAAAACTGATAATTCTGCAGGACACTCCTGCACCTTCCTGCATGGAAGTCCATGGGCAGTGGGCTGGGTCCCCTTCTCTTGCAGAGGGAGCTCTAGGGGCTCCAGGATGCGAAGCAAATTTAGAGACTGCCCCTATTTCAGGGACCCTGGAACTTAAACGAATCCAGGAGTTACCTGTAATGAGCATGCACAGGCTTCAGAGTGCAGAGGCTGATAAAGAAATCCAGCAGGGGGCACTTGGTGACTGATTAGTGAGTGGGTTAGGAGCAAGGAGTCTGAGCTGGTCTGGTTCGCATTTTTTCTGCTTTCATTACTACAAACAGTAACAAAATATATTATTCATTGATATCCTATAAAGTATTTCACATCTTTGTTATTTATTTATTTATTTATTGGGTACAGGGGATTGAACTCAGGGGCACTCGACCACTGAGCCACATCCCCAGCCCTATTTTGTATTTTATTTAGAGACAGGGTCTCACTGAGTTGCTTAGCGTCTTGCTTTTGCTGAGGCTGGCTTTGAACTCTCAATTCTCCTGCCTCAGCCTCCCAAGCCACTGGGATTACAGGCGTGCACTGCTACACCCAGCTCACATCTTTATTTCATATACTAATTGTGTAAGAAATGGAATATAGTGTTTAGCTTTAATTGGGATGTAAGATCTAATCATAGCCATTTTGAAATCCAATTGTAACCATTTTGACTACAGCCCTTCCCTTTACCCGCCCTATTTTTACAATGAGCCAATCACATAGATTGCAACCCTGAGCTCCTGCTATCAGAGCAGGGGGATTGCTGGCCCAGGTGTGGCCCAGGTGTGGCCCAGGTGTGGCCCAGGTGGGCTTGCTTGCCAGGTTGGGTAGTATGCACTTCTGTAGAAGTAGGTTTGCCTTGCAGAGCTACTTCTGAGCTCGCCTTTGATTCCTTGTGGCATCCCAGTATTTCTAACAGTCACAACATTGCTAAATGGTTCGTGTGTCCCCATGATACAGGAGAAGATATTGAATCTCAGAGAGCTCAGTACTTGTCCCAAGTCACCTCATATTCACATTCAAACACAGGCCAGGCTGGCCTCAGGCCCAGCTGCCTGGTTATATGACATCTGCTGGTCTTTTCTTGTCCATTCCCATCGACAAGGTGATGATCCCCCCCCTTTTTTTGGTAATATTTAACCGAAAATATTTATCCAGCAAAACCCCCAAATTTAATTCTTACAGTCTGTGAGGGATCTCGGTATACAAACCACCCTCATATTAACCATAGCTCAATTAGTGTTCGTGACTGAGAAATTGATGTGACTCCATTTTTGAGAAACCAGCCTCTACCTCAGAGCAAAGCCTGTCCAAGGAAGGGGGGTGACCCTTGTCCTTGGAAAAACCCACAGAGCACTCCTAGGCACATACCCACCCTACTGAGTTGTTTATCCACTAATAACAGGAGAGATCTGCAGGCTAGGTGTCCCTGATTCAGTCAGGCTAGGTGAGGACCCATAGCAACCCCCTAGCAACTACCACCAATCAGCATGATACAGGGAAAATACCTAGGATGCCAGATGACCCTCCCAGTAGTTTATGGTGGTTGGTAACATGTTGGGAAACCATGTAGTTCAGCACGTACACCCCTCGTGGCTTAAACCAATCAGTTCAAACGAATCCCCCTCTTGTACTAACCAATCACCCTTACCCAACTTGTTCCCGCCAGTGAATGTGCTAATCATGTTTTAGAGTTGTTTTATGATTTTCCTTCGGTGTGTGATGATTTGCTAAGAGATGCTATGATGTATGTGAAGGCCCTGCCTTCCCCAAAGAGTGTATAAAACTGCTGCAAACTCTGGGCTCAGGGCCTCTCAGTGTCACCAGTTGCTGTGTGCACGGAAGACTGAGCTAGCTGCTTACATCGATCTTGGTCTCTGGTGGTCTTTTGGGGGTCCTGAACGTGAGCATAAAAGTGACATCCATGGGGGAAGCCTCATCATTCCTCTTTTAATCCAGGGCTCTGAGGCTGGGGTGTGAACCCCTTGCAGCAGGCCATGCGGCCCATCCCACCCTCTCTGAGAAGCAGGCAGTGAGCTCGGAGGCCCTGGGCCTGGCTGCTTCTCCAGCCTGGGGGCTCTGCAGGCTGCATCTGGGTGGAGAGGGGCTTCATCCAGCTCTGGCTTTTGCAGGAGGAACAAGCTTCAAAGGATTCCTCTGCTGTCTGTGATATCTCTTGTGAGAATAAGTAACAACTTGAAGTCACTGAGTGTGCATTCAGTGCCGGGCCCCATACTAGGCTTTGGGACTCACTCACAGAGTTTTGTAGCAGAGGAAATGTCTGCAGATTTGGGCATTTCAGGTGTGGAGCAGCTGTTTTAGGGCTGGTGTGCAGGAGGGAGCACACAAACTGTAAGGATGTTTGGCATGGAAAGTGGCAGTGGGCACGGGACTGGATGTGTGTGATCAGGAGATGCAGGAGATGGGGAAAGAGCCCCAACTTCTTTCATGGGCCATGATCCTATGGGAAGAATCACCGCCCGAGCTGGCTGGGAGAACTAGGAGGGACTTTCAGGCACAGTGAGCAGTTTGTAGGTGAAGTCAGCCAAATCTTGGAGGATATGTGCAGTGCAGCTTGGCCCGAGCACCATGTGGGACGTGGGGGAAGAGTTCGGGAGGCTGGGGAGGTGGGCAGGGCCTGGTGCCCCTGGTAAAGAGTGAAACTTCAGCTGGGTGTGGTGGTAAAGCTGAGGCGGAGGATCTTGAGTTCAAAGCCAGCCTCAGCAATTTAGAGATGCACTAAGCAACTTAGTGAGTCCCTGTCTCAAAAGAAAAAATAAAAAGGGCTGGGGATGTGGCTCAGTGGTTAAGCACTCCTGGGTTCAATCCCTGGTTCCCAAAAAACAAAACAAAACAAAAAACTAATTTTCAGTGTGGAGGATGGGGTCCTTCACCTGTGGGGTGAGCAGGAGGGTGCTCAGCTCTATCTGAGAGGGTGATACTTAAAGCTGGTATGAGAAATGGCTGGAGAAGGCCAGATGTCCCTAGTACCCAGGTTTAGCACTGCCACAAAGCAACCTGTTGTCACACATTACAACACCCAGAACAGCCAAAGACCTATGGAAATTTGAGCCTCAGGTTTTGTTACCTGGGTTTGCTTTGATACTCTCCTACTCCCACCCCACGACAAATAGGGGAGAAGGCAGGTGCTTGGGAGGCTCCAGCACTGCAGATGTGGAGCAGCTAGCTGTTCAATCACTGCTGCTGCCTGGGCATGATGGGACATGCCTGTGGTCCCAGTCACTTGAGAGACTGAGGCAAGAGGATCCCAAGTTTGAGATCAGCCTCAGCAATTTAGCAATTTAGTGAGATCCTGTCTCAAAATAATTAAAATCTAAAAAGGCTTGAGGCTAGGTGTGACTTGGGAAACTGAGGCAGGAGGATTGCAAGTTTAAAACCAGCCTCAGCAAATTAGCGAGGCCCTAAGTGACTTAGTGAGACCCTGTCTCCAAATAAAAAAATGAAAAAAAACTGAGGATGTGGTTCAGTGGTCAAGTACCCTTTGGTTCAATCCATGATCCCTCAAATAAAATAAAACAATCAAAACAAGCTGCTAATGTAAGAGGTTCTGCCTCTGTGCGACAGTGTCCCCACCTGCCCTTCTCCCTGAAGGAAGCCCATCACAGTTAGGAAATGCAGCTGGAGTCACTGTAGTCAGAAAAAAATGATTTATTGTTCCAGAATCCAGCTCATGAACATATAACACACACTTACTGGGCCTATCAATACTTTTTTTTTCTTTTTATTACTGAAAAAAAAGAAAAATAATAAAGTCTAATAGGCAAATGAAATAAAAACAGAGGAGAACTAAAATAAGAAAAAACAGCAGCATAGAAATTGGAGGTGGCTGATTGGATTTAAAATCTTATAAGGTCCCTGTGGGTTTTCTTTTTTTTTTTTTTTTTTTTTATGTTTGCTTGTTTGAAGGAAGATAACAGTATTAACTTTAGACTTTGATAACTGGAGTATGAATGTTAAAATGGTTTGAGTAACCCTGTGTGACTTTGTGAGTCCCTGTCTCTAAATAAATAAAAAGGACTGAAAAAGGAGGAAGAGGAGGAACAGTTACCAGGTGTGAAATAGGTCAAATTTGAACCAAAGGTAACAGAAACACGATTGTGTGCTAATGTCATTTCTATGTAGTGCAGAGACAAGTCAATCTAAACCATGGTGCTGGAAGTCAGGGTAGTGGTTACCTTTGTGGGGGACAGTGATTGCAGGGGGAGGAGGAGGATTCTGGGGTTGTGGTAATGTTTTAGATCTAGGCGCTGGTTACATGGGTGTGCTCTCTTGGTGAGAATTATTGCACGTGCAAATTTCTGCATATATATGATCTTCCATGCAAATTTAAAAATCTGAGATGGGAGCAGAGATAAGGTAGACAGGCAGACTGTGAAGCAGCCTCAATGCCAAGGGACCCAGGGATTGGGCTGTGCCTTCGCAGACAGTGGGGAAATGTTGAAGGTGTTAGAGGAAGTGAGTTGCAGGGAGCTCCCTTCATTGGGGGGATGCAGGAGGCTGGCTGCACCTGC